AACTAAGTGATTTATGATCAACTATGGATTACCCAAGAATGGGAGGAAGAATGTTTTTACGTTAGAAAATCTACTAATGTAACCCATAACATTACCATACTAATGGAGAAAAACTCATCTCAAAAGATGAGGGATGGTACAGCCATTATGGAAAATAGTGCAGAGGTTTCTAAAGAAACTAAAAACAGAATTGCCCAGAGATCCCTCTTCTATATATGAAAATGAAATTACTACCTCATAAAGAGATCTGCATTCCCATGTAGAATGCAGCATTATTCACAATAGCCAAGATGTTGAAATAACCTAAGTATAAATGGATAAAGAAACTGTGGCACACATATATAATAGACTATTATTCAGCCCCCCCAAGGAATAAGATCTTGCCATTTGGTACAACATGGATGAGTTTGAGGTTGTGAGCTGTGATGCCACAGCACTCTACTGAGGGTGACATAGTGAGACTCTGTCTCAAAAAAAAAAAAAAAAAAAAAGAATAAGTAAAAATAAAACACCCTACGTAAGCCTCATGGCTGATCGTGAAACACTAAAAGCATACTCATTGTCAGACAGGTCATGAATATCCCAGTGTCTCTACTACTGTTTGACATTTCACTACAGACCCTAGAAAATATAATAAGCTAAGAATGATAAATAAGAGCATAAACACTTGAAAGAGAAAAAAGTTCTCAATATCAACAGTTACAATTATACCTAAAAATCCAAAAGTATCAACTAGCAAACTATTAGACCTAATAACAAAGTTCAGTAAAGAGGTCAACGATACCCAATCCCAGGGCAAGGGAAGTGAGGTACCTGGGGGCACATTCATGGGGCACTTGTTCGCAGGTGCCAGCCCTTCACTTGCAGGACCCTGGGAGTGTATGCTTGAATTTTGCACCTTACGTTACCTCGTTTACTACACCCCAACCTTGGCCCTGGGGGCCAGATACAAGATACAACATGCAAACAGTAACTTTCCTGTGTAGCAGTGTGGAGGATTTCATCGTGTTTGGCTACCTAGCCCTGAATATGTTTTCTATTTTGAGGAAACTCTCCTATTGTTTGAGTCCTGAACAATTTCTCTCTGTCTATGAAGCTAAAGGGGGCAGCATTGGCACCTGACCCAGACGCAGTCAGTTGTGCACTTTTGCTTATGTCTTGAATCTTAAGGGAGTGACGCAGAGAAAGTAGAGAAATTGTTCACAGTAGAGAACACCATGTCATGGAAAGTCTGACATCAGTTTTGGAGGGTCTCAGAAGGGTGGCAGTGCCCAGCAGGAGTGGTAGTGGCATCCTGGCTTCAGCATTTTCACTGCCTATTGTCTCTTGTTTCCTACTGATTTTCTAAAGCTTGAGATCTTTCCAATATCTTTACTGCAACTAAGGACCTGATGAATACTGATATAGCCACTGACCAAGGTAGAAAATACAGATGGTGGAATGAACACATACCTTTAACTCCTCTCCCTCCTGAAACCCCATTAAACTGACAATAAAGGGCTCAGTGCTAGGGCACCAGCCACATACACAGGAGCTGGTGGGTTTGAACCCAGCCTGGGCTTGCCAAATACAATGACAACTACAACCAAAAAATAGCCAGGTGTGGTGGGCACCTGTAATCGCAGCTACTTGGGAGGCTGAGGCAAGAGAATTGCTTAAGCCCAAGAGTTTGAGGTTGCTGTGCGCTCTGATGCCAAGCACTCTACCAAAGGTGACATAATGAGACTGTCTCAAAATAAATAAATAAATAAAATGACCATAAAGGTTTTTAGGCATACATTTTTTTTAAACATCATTCTTTATTTTTATTTATTTATTTATTTTGCAGTTTTTGGCCAGGGCTGGGTTTGAACCTGCCACCTCTGGCATATGGGACCGGCGCCCTACTCCTTTGAGCCACAGGCGCCCCCATTTAGGCATACATTTTAAGGATTAAGAGAATAACAGGGGAGACATGAGTAACAAAGATTTAAAGCTGGGAAACAGATGGCTAAATTATTTAGCAGCCCAAGGAAGTTAGATCCTAACCCCCTAAGGGAGAACTCCTAGTAGCCACCAATCTATACCACAAACTCCTAAGGTGCAAGAACATGGCAGCTCCAGGTATCCCTGGAAGTTGGCTGACGTGTTAGTGCAGCTAGCAACAGGAGGATTGCAAAACATCTTTGCAGAGCTTAGTAGTCTGAACTCTTAGACTCCCTTCCTAACTCTGTACAGCCAACAGAATAAAGTGAAAATTTATAAACTGAATGTTATGATCATCCCTCACTACTAAGCCATCTTTCTCATAGCCATGTGGCTCTACAACTCAGGCAGAAGATTAGAAGAGCCATCCCAGGAAAACCAATCAGCAAAGAAAAAATACTTCAAGACACTGGCAGTTTGTCAGGCATGGTGGCACAGGCCTGTAGTTCCAGCCACTCAGGAGGCTGAGGTGGGAGGATTGCTTGAGCCCAGGAGCTCATAACCAGTGAAAATCTGTCTCAACCACCCCCCCCCAAAACAAAAACCAAACCAGTTAGGGCACCCTACAGAGCGCCCTCTAGTACAATCAAAATTAACCAGTCCCTTCCACACTGTACAGAGCTTCCCATCAGTGTCTTGGGGTCACCCACTCTCAGATATGAGTAGAAAGCTAAGTATCACCAGACAAGTAAGGAAAGCATTTCTTCTGAAAGACAGAGACCAAAACAATAAACAGGGGAGAAAAAGCAACTTGGTGGAAACAGAGACCATACTGAAGGAAAAACATCAAAAATTATCATAATTCTCTTCAGAAAAGCCATATTGAATTGGTGAAATGAAAATAATATTCTAAATAAATAAATATGTAAATACATAAATACAAGGGAGGGGGGCAATCAGAGAATGAAAAAAGGTTCTTATAAATTAAAATACGTAAGCAAAAATGAGTAAAACTTAGTAAAAGAGTTGGGAGACAGGTTGGGGAGCTCTCCCCAAAGGTCGAACAAAAAAGTATAAATAATAGAACACAAAATATAAAATAAAGTCAGATGACATGGATAAGGTTTGAATCCCCAGCACTCTGGGAGGCTGAGGCAGGAGGATCACTTGAGCCCACAAGTTCAAGACCAGCCTGGGAAATAGCAAGACCCTGACTCTGCACACACAAAAAGGCCATTATACATACATACATACATAGGGAAAAGGGGAAATTATAGCTAAATGTACTTTTATTCACAAAATACAGGGTGACCATAAAGTAAAATTGCATATGAACTTTATGGCCACCCTGTATTTCTCTACATGTTGACCTATAAATATAAAATATATTAAACACAAATTTTTAAATTTTTCCTATTTATGGAGACCTTTAGGACACCTGTATCATGTTGCAAATAATATAAATAATATGTGAATACATCCCTCTAGGAAAAAGTAGGTCATTCCAATAAACAGGTCCTCTCTAGAGATAATCACCATTATTATAAGAAGATAAATATACCTTAAAGATTCAGAAAACACACACACACCAAGCTGGGAGCCCTTCAGAGGGTGAGCCAGAACCTCATGACCAGAGCTACAGGAAGCCTCTCTGTTCTCTAGGGGATTCCAACACAAAGACAACCCCCCCTCCCGCCCGCCACCAAGGCACTTGGCTTGGTGCACTGGGCTGATATTTTGGCAAGGGCAAATCTAGGTTTTGCCCTCTGGTAAGTAAGTGAAAGAACACAAAGTTATAAGCACTAACTGTTCATGGCCACTCTAGTATCACTTAAAATGGGGTAAACGGTGACAGAAGTGAGAGTGAAAAGAGATAATGGTTTTAAATAAATGTGGTTAAAATGCTACTTCTATCAACTTTACAAGAACGTACCATTACATTAACACATTGGGAGGGGCTCAAAGTGAGGTTCCCCTGAAATTCAAGCTCTCTTAACTTCAAGTAAACCCACCTATGGACAAAAGGACTTGGGTCAATTGTCCTCAAGGGTAGAAGGCCATCTTCAACAGTATGAGGTAAAAGATTAAGTCACAGAGAAAATGAAAACAGTACCCTGGTGGAACATTTTGCTAGTATATTTGATTTTTTTTTTTTTTTTTTAGGAATAAGCTATTTTAATCAAGCAAAAACAAATTTATATTCATTATTTCTAAAAATAAAATTAGACTTTTCCAATCCTTAACATCTACATTTAATAATATCTTCTAACCAAAATACAGATGCTAAAATAGCAAATTATAATATAGCTTGTACAGCATACAGTATGTTCACTGTTTACACTTTAATTCTAGTTTGTCATTATGTACTCAAAGAATACTTTAATATCACCGATAATAAAATTTTCACAATTAAACAAAAAATGTGACAAGGTGTCTTAAAATGGCTCTGCTATAAATTATATATAATATACAGAATTACAAAGTCAAGTATTTTTTATCAAAATATACACCCCTCCCTGAAACTAACACAAGCTATCAATATTTTAAATGAATAATACAATTATAGAAAATATTTGCAAAATATTTTTTCATGTATAAATATTCTGCCATATTTACTTTGGTCTAGAATTATCAGCATACAAGTCCACTGGAAAAAATATCCACATGTAAGGGCTGGGAGACATCACTACACATAATTTTATATTTGAAGTCAAATCGAAATGACTAGACTACACAGAGTAATTCTCCTTGATTCATAAACCTAACAGATAAAACAGATTAGTGGATCATAGGATTATTTGCTTACTATTCTAATTATTAATTCAAAAATGATTTTCATAAGCCCTTTGTGACTCTTTAACAACCCCCCCCCCAAATATGGAATGCTTCACGAATTTATGTGTCATCCTTGTGCAGGGGCCATGCTAATGTTTTCTGTATCATTCCAATTTTAGTATATGTGCTGCTGAAGCGAGTATATTTGATCTTTAAGGTAAAATTTGTAAATTTGATCTTTAAGGTAAATTTCAAATAAAAATAAAAATCTCTAAAATGCAACTTAAGTCTCTCTGGAGATTTTCTTTGAAGTTTCTTACCATTTCTAAGTTATCTGTAGCAATGGGATCGAGAATGTTCTAAAGAGAAAAAATAAGAAATTAATTCATGATAGGTTTGATATATGTTCTCCTCTCCCCCATTCATCTTCTAAGATTCTTTTCTGTCCCCCTCAGTTATTCTTGTGAGAAATGCATTCAGGCAGAAGGCATCAAGGACCAATACTTGTGTGGTCTTCTGGCCTATGGGATCTTAACAAATGACCCCTATTTTCCAGATCTTAAAAAGTAATTGGAGAAACAAGAAATAGTTAATGATAACAAGAGGAAATATAAATGAACAGAAGTGAGATTAGTTTGGACATCATCACAAAAACTAAGTTGATTTCTGACTGGGAAACTATATCAGTGATGTTGAGAATTATATATCTTTTCTTTTTTCTTTTTTTTTCTGCCAGTATGATGGATTGAGAATTATACCTAACTCTAAATTCATAGTAAAGGAACTATCACTGTAAACAGCATCAGCTGGTCACTTCTTACCATATGACGAAGGAGTAAACTGTGGTGAGAAACCACTGCTGCTCAACGTAATTAGTCCATCAAAAAATGTATCTTTTGGGTACTTAGTATGATACTATGGGATTGGTTGATAAACAGAAGGCGTGGTCTTAACAATTCAGAAATGTATTATCTATTGAAAACAAAAGGACTTTCACACATAAGAAGACAACTAAATACCAAGAAAATATGTGAAAAGTGTTAAAATAAGAGGTATAAACAATAACTTCTGTAAGAGTTTAGGGGATGGAGGTCTCTGGGCTGGCAAATCACCCAGAGACTGAGGACTGTACCCCAATGTGTGGGCAGGGAGAAATGGGGTAAAGGCATTTATTCAAAGCCACTCAGTAAGGTCAGCAGTGGATATGAGCCTCAGTTTTGATCTCTTGTATCAAAAACTATCACTAATTATTAATGATATTAATAATCAATAATCACTAATTCTTTAGCACCTCATACAATATGTTTTAAAGGGGTGCTCAATTAATCTTAGTTGGTAGTAATTACGAAAAGAAAAATAATAAGCACACATTGTATAAACAAGCAAAAGTCTTAATATTTACTGAGCAACTATATTTTAAAGACATAGCGCAAAGCTCAGCAATCATATACAAAGTAAAATGCTGGCTGGGTGCAGTGAGTCACGCTTGTAATTCCAGCACTCTGAGAGGCCAAGACAGGTGAATTTCTTGAGCTGAGGGGTTTAAGATCAGCTTGAGCAAGAGCAAGAGAGCAAGACTCCATTTCTTAAAAAAAAAAAAAGAGACAAGAGGATCACTTGAGCCCAAGAGTTTGAGGTTGCCGTGAGCTATGATGATATGGCACTCTACCCAGGGTGACAAAGTGAGACTATCTCAAAAACAAAAGAACTTAAAAAACTAAAATGGTAGGGTAACTGCCTTCTAAGGGTAATATAACAGAATTTATGTATTTCTGTATATTGAGAACAACCCCTTTATACCACAGTCTGGGAAATTAGTGGAATTCAAGGCATGAAAAGATTATTTTAGGGACTGGCATGGTGGCTTATGCCTACAATCCCAGCCCTCTGGGAGGCTGAGGCAGGAGGATCACTTGAACTCAGGAGTTCAAGACCAGCCTGAGCAAGAGCAAGACTTCATCTCTACTACAAATAGAAAAATTAGCTAGGCATGCGACTCATGCCTGTAATACCAGCTACTCGGGAGGCTGAAGTAGGAAGACTGCTTGAGTCCCGCAATTTGAGAGCAGCCTGAGCAACAGTGGGACCCTCATCTCTACTAAAAACAGAAAAACTAGCTGGATGTGGTGGTGGGGCCTGTAGTCTCAGCTACTTGGGACACTGACAGGAGGATCACTTGAGCCTAAGAGTTTGAAGTTGCTATGAGCTGTGATACCATAGCACTCTACCCAGGGCGACGGAGTGAGACTGTGTCTCAAAAACAAAAAAACCCAAAAAAACCCCAGATTATTTTGGCCAGGAGAAAAAAAATTTACTTGTGAATCAATAGTCACAACAAATGACCCTGCTTCCAGCAGTGGTCTCAGTGGAGAGGTACCTCCCTGACAAGAGCAACACAGAGATTCCCACTACTGAAGACACCGCTACTTTTAATATCTGATTTTAATCAAAGAAAAATTGATTTGGGAGACTTGGGCCAATGTTCTTATTGGCTTCCCTTATAGTCTAAAGGCCTCATTTATCTTGAAATTCCAAGAAGGATTCAGACTAGATGTGGGTCGAGGGAGAAATCTATCAGTCAAAAGCAGAGATGTTTCCTACCGGTTGTTTGCCTTTTTTCTTTGAATTTAAAGTGAGTTGGGGGTGTTCCAATTCCTTGAGCCAAGCCTCCTTGGGCAATTTATACACATCCAGCCAAACATCTCCAGCTCCTACATTGGGAAACCAGAGAACCATTGAGCAAGTGGAAGTAGGGCACAGGCCTCTTCTAAGGAGCAGCCCGTCTTCTTGGGACAGCTGGCACAGAGGTCAGGCATCTCTTAGCAGAGACCCTCAGAACAGTAACTTCAACAAATAGAAGGAAATGTAGTTCTCACTCCCCTAATAACTTTCCCATGGACAGTTACCTCTCAAGTCACCACCACCTAAGGGAAAAAGGGCTTCTCACACTGACAGCACTGATACAGCAGCTTCAACCAGGCTGCTCGCTCTGCTCAGTTCCTGCAAATGATAAACCCCACTGACATTTTGCTTTGGGCTGTACCTGTCTGGGGAGGAAGGCAGCATAAATAGCATTAGTAAGTGAGAGGAACAGGGCTAAGGAAGATTTAGAATTGGGAAAGATGCCCTAAAATAATTCTTCTGACCTATATTTGAGGAGATGACAACTTAGGGGGTGGTTGTGGGACTTGATCTTATCATAGAGACATTCTTAGCTTCTGTACAGAATGCCTATCAACTTGGGAAAGGTTGCTCTCCCATGGTATAGAATCCTGGCTAAATGTTTCCTCACAAAAGTAACCATCTAGACACCTTAATTTCAGACTTTTGGCCTCCAGAATTGTGAGAAAATAAATATCTTTTATTGTAAACCACTCAGTTTGAGGCTACCTTATGGCAGCCAGAGAACACTACCATAGATGGTACAAAGGCTCCCTCAAATACAAAAGCATTATAAAATATGTATCTCGGCTTGGCACCCATAGCTCAGTGGTTAGGGCGCTGGCCATATACACCAGGCCTGGCAGGTTTGAACCTGGTCTGGCCTGCTAAACAACAATGACAACTGCAACAAAAAAATAGCCAGGCAATATAGTGGACACCTATAGTCCAACTACTTCGGAGGCTGAGGCAAGAGAATCGCTTAGGCCCAAGAGTTTGAGGTTGCTATGAGCTGTGACACCACAGCACTCTACCAAGTGTGACATAGTGAGACTGTCTAAAAAAAAAAATACATATTGCCCTCAAGCCCCTAACATATGAGGGGCCTTGGGGAAGAGCATAAAATAGAGGCCTAAATACCATATATAAAAATATTTAACAGTCAGAAATCAAGATAACAAATATGTGAATGAAATATGTTCTACCCACAGTGATAACTGCAGCAGGCAAGATTAGTGATGTGCTAAATTTGGTGGGTAAAAAAGGAGAGACAGTATACTTGGATCATCTCAAAGTGTCCCCCCAAAATGTTAATTACTATAGTGGTTTTGTTTGCTTTTATTTCAAAATATTAAGGGGTTGCAGAAGTTTTTGTTATATAGATACGTTGTATAATGCTTAAGTAAGGTTTTTTTGTGTACCTGTCTTTAGAATAGTGTTCACTGTACCCAGGAGGTACACTGGACTCCCCTATCCTATCCTTTCCTCTTCTTGGTTTCCAACGTCCTTTATATCACTTTGTGCTCACGTGTACCCATTAAACATATATGCTCCCGCATATCAGTGAGCATATATGGTGTTTGGTTTTTTGTTCTTGAGATACTCCATTTAGGATAATGGTCTCCAGTTCCATCCAGGTTGCCGCAAAGAACATTATTTCATCCCTTTTTATGGCTGAGTGCTCCATGGTGTATTGTGGTGATTTTTGGACACATGCTTAAATCATCTCCCTTTGAGTGTGGTTGGATTTCATGACTTGCTCCTTACAGAGTGTAGGAAAGGAAAAATGGCAGCGCTACAGAGGAGAAGCTGGGAGATAGCACTTTCACCAAGCCACCAAGGTTGGTGTCAGCAGTGGTGAGTCATACCCTTTGATACAAAGCACTCAGGAGAACACTTCACCTCTTCAAATCCTTAACCCCTGTTGGATCATGAGAAAAATATCAGACAAACTGAAATTGAGAAATACTCTACAAAATACCTGACTGGTACTCTTCAGAAGAGTGAAGGCCATGAAAAACGAGGAAAGACCAAGAAACTGACACAGATAAGAGCAGACCACATGGAAAACAATACTAAATACAATATGCTATTCTTGGTTGAACTGTGGAACAGAAAAATTTGATTAGTGGAAAAGACAGTAAAATCTGCAAAAAAATCTCTGTAGTGATTAGTTAATTACATTGTGCCAATGTTATTTGCTTACTTTTGACAAACATAGATGATTATGTGGAATATTGGCATTTGGAATGCTGGGTGAAGGGCATAGCATAGAGAAACTCTGTAACATCTCTGCAACTCTTCTGCAAATCTAAAACAATTCTAAATTAAAAGTTTGAAGGAAGGAAAGTACTCATCTGAAAGAAACTGAAAATCGGAACTATGTTAACAGTCTTTGGATAGTCTTGCCTTGCAGGAGGAAAGCTGCAAAGTCCCCTCCTTGAGAGATCTCCATCTTTGTACAGGCGGTTTGCTTGCTGGCATCCTCCTGAAAACAAAAGAGATGCTGATAGTTAGTTCAGCTTGGTGACCCGAAAGAATATAGTTCAGGGCTTTCTGCGGCTCATACCCAGAACAGATGTCCTTTTAAAGCTTAGAACATGAAAAATGCCTCAAACTGCTTCACAATTTCCATTTTTTCTTGTACAGAAATTGGACAGCATAGTATATAAGGAAGTGGGACTCACTTTTCTGAATGTTTTTGGACTTACGTTTTATAAATGCTACTGGTGATTTGTGACATACTCTTAGATCTTGTGGTTGGGTGTGCTAACACTACAGCCTAGGTTGGTATCCAGTCCCTCCACTGAATTGAAATACATTCTACATGACACTGAACACTCTGGAGGTTGCTGGACAAAAGGCTCTAGCTACCGTAATGGAAATTAAATGTAACTCTAGTGTTAAATCTGCTCAAATTGTGGGCAAGCTAAGAGAGGCTCAATGGGTATGGTTATGTGTGTCTTTAAGGATCTGAAAGATTACTAGCAAAATAAGGTGGCCAGATCAGTTAAACTGATAAGTCCCCTAACTTATGTAATGAGAACTAGTTACAATTTTTTAAATTTTATGTATTTTAATACCAACTTGTTGTTATGGAAATTTTAAATCATACAAAAAGAGAGAAAATAGAACAACCCAGTATATTCATTACTCAGCTTCAGCAATTATCAATATATGACAGACATTTTATTACCTTACTCATTCATATTTTTTTAAATTAAGCCTACATTATTAATAATTCCTAAGCATCATTTAATTTCCAGTGTGTTTTTTAATTTCTTCAACTGTCTCAAAAATGTCATAAATATCTTATCACAATTGGTTTGTTCAAATCAGGATCCAAATGAAGCCCATGGATTGCATTTAGTTAATATATCTTGTAAGTCTAAGTTTATAGTGGCATCCTCATTTGTTTTTCTCTTTGCCATTTATTTGTTGAAGATGCCAGGTCATTTATTCTATGGAACTGGACATTGTGGGTCAAACTGATGGCACCTTCATGGTATCAGCATGTTCCTCTGAGTCCCTGGACTGCCTGTAAACTGGTAATCAGATCTAGAGCTTTGATTAGATGTAGGTTCAATTATTTTGAACCTAGAGGCCCATAATATGTGGTGTGTCTTTTTTAGTAAAGTCAAAATTGATAATTGATAACAGGTGTTGTCATCCTGACTCATTAATTATAAAATCCCCCATGAGCCATTGGTGGTTATTGCCTAGACCACTAGCGTGTAAAATGGCTACAAAATCAAGATAGCTAAGTTCTACCATTCCTTCTGCATTTGTTAGAATTCTTCTACAAAGACCGAGTGCAGTGGCTCATGCCCGTAAACTTAGAGCTCTGGGAGGCCAAGGCAGGTGGATTGCTTGAGCTCATGAGTTTGAAACCAGCCCGAGCAAGAGTAAGACCTGCCTCTACTAAAAATAGAGGCTGGGTGTGATCAGCAGGTGCCTGTAGTCTCAGCTACTTGGGACACCAAGATAGGAGGATCACTTGAGCCTAAGAGTTTGAGGTTGCAGTGAGCTATGAAACCATAGCACTCTACCTAGGGTGACAAAGTGAGACTCTGTCTCAAAGAAAAAAAATATATAAAGAATTCTTCCATAAAGAAGATCTTTCCATCATCACTACTTGGTATCCTTGAAATATAACCCACATGGGAAAGTCAAGACAAAAGTTTGATTCATTCCCTTATCAGTTTTCAGAGTACTCAGTTTGTGCTCTAGCAACATTCCCAGGTGATAATGAAGTATTTAAAAACATATTATTATGAATACATAGATTAAAAAATATTTCTAGTGTGTTTTAATTCATCAACAGTACTTTCTTTATAGTGTCCCCTTCAAGTTTGGGTATCACAGTTATGTTGGGCTCACAAAATGAGCTGAGGAACATTCCCTGTATCTTTTTCTTTACAGAGTTTTTTTTTTTTTTTTTTTTTTTTTTGAGACAGAGCCTCAAGCTGTCCCCCTGGGTAGAGTGCAGTGGCATCACAGCTCACAGCAACCTCCAACTCCTGGGTTCAAGCGAGTCTCCTGCCTCAGCTTCCTAAGTAGCTGGGACCACAGGCGCCAGCCACAACACTCAGCTATTTTTTGGTTGCAGCCATCACTGTTGTTTGGCGGGCCCAGGCTGGATTCGAACCCACCACCTTTAGGTGTATGTGGCTGGTGCCTTAACCACTTGAGCCACAGGTGCCGAGCCTTTACAGAGTTTTTTTAAGATATAGGTAAAGGTACTGATATTAAGTACATAACTTGATGAGTTAGTGTATTTTTTTTTTTTTTTTTGAGACAGAGTCTCTGTCACTATGGGTAGAATGTCGTGGCATCGTAACTTACAACCTCAAACTCTTGGGCTCAAGTGATCCTCCTGCCTCAGCCTGCTGAGTAGCTGGGACTACAGGTGCTTTCCATGGTGCTAGCTAATTTTTCAATTTTTAGTCTCACTCTTGCTCAAGCTGGCCTTGAACTCCTGAACTCAAGTGATCCTCCCAGTGATTCAACCTCCCAGAGTGTTGGGATTACAGGTGTGATAGCCACTGTGCCTGGCTATAACTTGATGAGTTTTGACAAATGTAACTAACATCCATGTAACTAACACCCAGTCAAGGTACAGAACATTACAATTATTGCAGCAAGTTCACTCATGCCTATTTCAATTACACATTTACATGCAACCAATGTTATGTTGTCCATCACTAACACAGAGTAGTTCTATCTGCTCTTAAATTTCATGTAAGTGGAATATCCTCTTGTGTCTGGCTTCTTTCACTCAACTTGATGTTTCTGAGTTTCACCCATTATGTTGGAATCATCAGCAGTGTTTTATTGGTGAATATTGTGCCATCGAATTACTGTACCACAAATCATTTGTTCTCTGATTATGTCCAGTTTATTATTACCAAAAAATCTGCTATGAATATCTTACACAAATCCTTGTGTGAACATAGTTTTCATTACTCTTGGGTAAATACCTGGGTATGGAATTGATATGTTATAGGTTTAAGTTTGTAAGAAACTACTCACCTCTTTTTCAAAATGGCTGTGCTAGATTATACAACTGCCAGCAATGTATATAAGTTTCTATTGTTCTACATCCTTGGTAGACGCTGACTGGAATGGTTAGTCTTTAATTTTAAGCATTATATTAATTATTGAGTGGTTAATTAATAACCACTCTATTTGGTATGGTTAGTCTTTAATTTTAAGCATTATATTAATAATAGATGTTCAGTGGTATCCTATTGAGATTTTAGTTTGCATTTCTCTATTAACTAATGATATTAAACACTTAAAAAATGGTTATTCATGTACCTTCCTTTGTAAAACACCAATTCAAGTCTTTTACCTATTTTTTATTGGGTGGTCTTTTTATTATTGATTTGTAGTTCTTAGATATTATAGATATAAATACATAAAAATATGTAAATCAGATATTTTCTCCCAGTCACTTTTTTTCCTAGTCACTTTTTAAATTTTCTTAATATTTTTTATCATTATTAAGACCTTTGTTAACAGTTTGCAGTTTGGCTTTTTAAAAAAATTAAGTAGTAATGTATAACATTAAAAATGAGGTACTCATAACGTAGTCTTGGTGGTTATAGGTAAACACAATTCTTTAAACTTTTATGTAGGTTTGAAATGTTTCACAATAAAATGCTGGAAGAGGACCATGTAAGTGATGTTAACTATACTGTTCATCTACTTGCTCTATCAGAAAATTAAGTGCTTACCATATACCACCAAAAAAAGAAAAAAAGAAAAAGAATCTTAAAAATCTCATCTTAACCAGGTAAGAAATAATTTGAAAATCCTTACAGCTGTAGTGAGAAAAACCAGGATTTTAATAAAACATGTTTGTCACTACTGAATAAAAACAAGATACTACGCAGGTAATGCAAATAGTTCTGGTGATCTGGTCAATGGGGGGAAAAAACCCACAAAAACCACTTAAGGTCTTAGCTCCAGTCTTTATTCATTTCTTACTACTGAGATTTCTTATCCATTTTTTAATTCATCCATTATTTTAAAGATGGTATCTTGCCATGTGACTATATCCTTGAATTCATGGGCTCCAGAGCCTCCCACCTCAGCCTCCCGAGCAGCTGAGACCACAGGCCGGTGTCATCCAGCTGGGCTAACATTCCTTTGTGTTGGGTGACAAAGCAAGGTAGTGGCAGAAGGCAGTCAGCTTGACTTTACTCAGTCCGGCCTTGCTCTGCCTCAGGAATAGACACAATTCTCAGTTGGCGGATCTCTTGCTTTTGTCTCTGCCACGTTGTGGCTTCGGGCTTTCTGGGTGCTGGTATTTGTAAGTGCAATTGTGGCTGTCAACTTTGGACCTCATCTTCTTCACTGCTGCCCTCTCCAGCCTGTCTTTGGTGAGGAGGGCGCTGTGGAAATTGCGGTCCAGGATCCTGACACACTGGCCCCGTGTCAGCAATCCACCTTATTCTTCTGCGTCCTGTTGTCAGCCCTCTCTTTCACTTCTCCCTGCACAGGAGGGTTGGAATGATGTGGTTCTCTCCAAGCTGGAAACAGCTGCCTGCACCCTGCAGGAGCTGCTGAACCTGGCTTTCAGGAGCACTCTCCAATCTGCAGTCCTTTCCCCACTCTCACTACTCTGATAGTCTTGCTGGTAAGGGCCTGGAGGACCTGCCTAAGCCACTGACAGTGTTCATAGTGGTTGCTGCCTGCTGCATATTATTGTTCTGCACCACAGTGCCACGAGGGCCTGTAACATCTGCTGTCTCTGCACCCTCTGACAACATCAAACTCCATCTCCTCCTCTGTGAAAGTGCTTCCTGAGATTATTTAATGGCTACCTGCTGTCTAAATACATCTCCTTCGTGTCCTTCCTGTTAATGAAACTGTATCTGTTCCTTACGGTGAATCATTTGTGCCCTAAATTTGTCATTGCCATGACCTTTTTGACCCTAGCTGGCCAGTGCCCCTGCCTATATGTGGCTTCCAGGGCCACAG